TGGTAGCACATAGTATTGAAAATTATTTATATTATTAATTAATTTTTTGCAAGACTTAATTTTTATTCTACATAGTAGGAAAATACATCTGGTACTAAAGTTGGACGAATAAAGCTCTTTGACATGATTTGAATTATGTTATATTTATATTTATAGTATGACTTTTTATTTAAAATAATGATTGAATTGTTTATTAGGGAAAAATGAGGGATAAAAGGGCGGAGTATGAAGTTACGACTTCAAGTCATGATATTGTTAATGCAGATGATATCGAAAATCAAGTTATTAAAGAAGTTTTGGGTCCTGAAATACATGGTCGGGTTCGCTTTCAAGGATCATTCGTTACCCCAACAAAATATTTTGGATCCAGTTCATCTCAGTACATGTCATCGCACAGTCAGTCTTTCCAATCAGAAATTAGTTGTTTAAAACAACAGTTGGCTCAAATGGATGAAAAATTTACTCAAATGAAAGTTGAAACTGAAGCGAGGGAAGCAGTAAAGAAACATCATATCAGAAAAATATGAATACTTTTAAAATCAACTTCAAGCTATGATGCAGATGATACGACAAAATCTACCCCAAAGTCCACCATCTTAGGTGTAATATATATATGCTTTGTTTTTGCTAGTTAACAATGTTGAACTACATTCAAATAATCTAATTAACTAATTAATAGAAATTAAAATCAATTCTAATCCCTATTTAGCAAAATCAAACAATTAAGGGGCTAAATTGAACATTTATTGAATTAATTAGAGATTAAATCTGAATTAACATGCAATTTAAATTAGGGACCGAACTAAAGCATAATTAAAATTAACCATGAAAATTAAGAAATAAACCCATGACTACGATGCAAAAACACATGTAAATATGAGTGTCTGAAACGAAAATAAGCCAAAATATCAACCATGATACGAAATCAGAAAATAACAAAATAAGGACAAAAATAAAAAAATTAACTAAAAAACGAACCCTACATGTGACTATTAAAAACACGCTGAAAGTGGGAGGACCTAAGAACGATTTTACCCTAAGTCTCGATGACCTAAAAATAAATAACCCAAAAAATATACTATATAAGCCTAATTATAATTAGGTTAATCGTTTCATCTGTTTTGGATTTGAGAGTTCTCTCAACTCTCCTTTACTCTCACTGGTTTATTCTCTTCTCTTCACCGGCCACCGCACGTGGTGTCCGAGAAACCTAAACGTTATCCTGAAAACAATTCCAACGTGCTTAAAACCCTCGATTCAACCTCCTCTACTCAAAACCAAACCTCAAGCTTCCTAAAAAACCTAAACACCTCTAAATCTTTCCCTTACACCCCTGTTTTTCAGTCTCCAACGAAACCCAACAACCCATTTTCTTAAAATCCTTATGAATGAAACCTTAAACCTAACATGCAAACCGTTAATCATCGGTGACGATATCTTACCCGGGCGTCTTTGACCTTTAGATAAGGTTCGATCGCCTCAGGTAAAAAAAGGTTTGAGTTTTTTTATTTTTCTCTCGTATATGCATGCAAGATAAAAAATGGAAAAATGGCTACCTCTGAAAATTTGGTATATTTGTTGCTTCCAAAAATTGATCATTTTACAATTTGTGTTAGTGGGTTTAAATATCGATTACATCCGAGGTTACAAACGTTAAAACCTCTCAAAAATTGATCCTTTGATTTGTATGTTGATTCTCTCATCCGTCTGCCTCTGCCACAGTTGGGGTGCTCAAATGGCTTGGAAAATGACCCCTGCTCACATGTTAAGGCTATAGGGGCGCGTGGAAATGTCACTATATATATGGGACTTGCGCGTGTATCATACACACGTATGATTCTACCGTTCATCTCTTCGAGGCATGCCAATCGTCGGATTGGGTCAGATCCAACGGTTGGGCTTCAATGATGACAACGACTGATATGGTGAAGGGTTAAAACCCTAATTCTTGATGAATCAGGGCCATTGGATATTGTATAAATCTAACGATAAAGATGTGGTTGTACAACCTATTCTCTTTGGTTATGATGGAACTCTATCCTGTCCTCAATTTGAACAGTTGGATTGAATCAAATCCAACGGCTACAGATGATGCGATGTTGGGGATGACTTAGGGGTTATGAAAAACCATATCCATCATATGATCTGAGCCATTTGTTTCCCTCTTAATCTATTGGCTGCCAACGTTCAGTGTTGGGGCTAAAGATGAAACCTTATCTGCTGCATGGATTCTTTATACGGGCTTGCTCTTTTGGGTTTCTGGCCTAGACCAGTTGCAGGCCTGGTTCGCTGACTTGGACTTACATTCTGAACCCCTTCGGATCTGCACGAATCAACCTAAATTAATGAAATAAAAATAAAATAAAAAATAAAACTAAAATAAAATAAATTATAAACCCCATACTGTTTTCTAAAACTTCCAAAATTATTTTTTCTGAAATAGTTTTCAACGGTATATTATTTAGAAAGGTTTTCAAAATATATTAGTATTTTTCAAATGGTTTTCAAAACTAGTATATAATATTTTTCAAAAATGTTTTCAAAATATATTATATTATATTATATTATATCATATTATATCATATTATATTATATCATATCATATCATATCATATCATATCATATCATATCATATTATATTATATTATATTATATTATATTATATTATATTATATTATATTATATTATATTATATTATATTATATTATATTATACTATATTATATTATATTATATTATATTATATTATATTATATTATATTATATTATATTATATTATATTATATTATATATATTATATTATATTATATTATTTAAAAAATAATTTTTCCAAAATTATATTATGTTCAAAAGGTTTTCAAAACTATACAGTATATAATTTTTCAAAACAGTTTTCCCCAAAATTATATTATTTTCAAAAAGTTTTCAAAACTATATAATATTTTTAGAGCAAATTGTACAAAAAAATATTTTATATATATATATAAGGTATTATTTTCAAAGCTAATATGCTAGATAATATAATATTTTCCACACTATTTATTTAACCTTTAAACTATATGTATATTAGAGAAATGAAAGCAACATAAAATGAAATTTTATATGGATAAAAACATGTGTCTACATTGTCCTTCAAGCATCCTAACATCATTCAACATCTGCAATGAATAATTTTTATAGATGAGTATAGAGTGAGTGTCACACATCGATATGTATCACTAATAATATGCACGATATGCACCACAAATATAAAAATAAAATAAAATTCATAAATAATCATTAAATTTATTAAAGTAGTTTTATTTGTCATTATAGTTTTAAAAATTATAAAATAGACATTAAACTTTAGATTTTATTAAAATATAGTCAGCAACTGTGAAATATTGTTAAGGAAGTGACATGATATACTAAATTAATAGAAAAATATCTTATTTGGTCCTCAATTATGATTAAAATTTCATTTCGATATTTTCCCCAATATTTTTAAATTGATAATTTCAAAAATTAAATTAGTAAATTTAGATTTTTAAAAATATATGAAAACAATTTATTTTTAAAATTAGAATTATAATATTTTTAAAATTTTCTTTCTTCAAATTATTTTATAACTAATTATTTTTAATCTTATAAAATTAAAAGTTTATAATTTTTGAGATAAAAAAAAGGAATTATCAAATAATGTTATTATTTTTTACTAGACGATGTGATTTAAGCATTTTGACTTTTGTTTAATAAGTTTAAACACAATTTAAAAAAAAATACATTCTGAAAATTATAGTCTCAAATTAATAAGAAAAATATATCCAAACTTAAATATAAATAATTGAAATAATTCTTAACTTTTAATAATGTATCCAGTAATTTATATGGTATAAATTCAATGTTTATAACATTCCACTAAAATTAATATTAAATTTATTTATATCCATTTTGTTTTCCATTCAACGAACATAATAAAAAATAATTTAATTAAAATAAACAATAAAATAAATTTTAATTACAACTAAAAGGTTAAATGAGATTTTTTTTATTAATTTAGTATGTCACATCATTTTTTTAATGATAGATAATGACATTATACCCATTTTATAACAAAATCTAAAATTTAATGTTTATTACGTTAATTTTTAATTTTTTGTCTAAAAACATCATTTTGATATAATTTAACGTCCATTTATAAATTTTACCTTATAAAATTAGTGGTGGATATCAAACATTTATTCTAGAATTTTTCGTTTTTTAAACGATATCATTGTGAGTAATTTGCCATTATTTTTTGTCTAATTATTAATTTAATCCCCTTATTATGTTGAAATTGAAATTTAATCATTCTTCTTTATGTTGGTATAATTTAGACTTCCACTTTTATAATATTTTAATAGGCCTGAATTGATGATACCATTAGTTATATCGTTAAATTGATAACATGAATATTTTTTTACATGTGCAAGAATCAAACAACCTTAGTGATTAAATAAATGGTTATTATTCTTAAAAGTCCCAAGTTCGAGCACTAGAGATTATAAGATATTTGAGTGTTCATTGTCAAATGGTTATGAGTTTTTAAAACAAATACTACCACTTGTAAGTACCCTATATTAATAAAAAAATGACATGTTACCAAATGCCAAGACTATTTTTTTAAAGTGTGATATTACATTAATAATAAAATAGTATTACCAATTTGAATCTACCAATAATATTATAAAAGTAGAATGATTAACTTGAATTAAATAGATTAAATTCACAATATCAACATAGTTGAGGACTTGTATCATCATTAGTCCTTTTTTCACTCAAGAGCAAAAGTTAAGAGCCAGTTCAATTAATTTGTTTGAGACTTTAACATGGAAAACAACAATCATAAAAATGTGTGTTTTATGTTGATATGTTCGTTTATCAATCTTACCCTTCTTTTTTTACTTCAGAGTTGATGTCATTTCACATTCTTGTCCAAAAAACACAGCTTTTGAACTCGTTTTATGTATGGGTCCTTAGTGGTAAACATCATTAACACTCTTCAAATATAATTAAGATGCAATATAAATGTCATAATAATACTGATTCATATATAAAATCAGAGAAATTAGAATAATAACACTTAAAAATTCCATTAAAAAAGAAAATGAAAATCCACTTCTCCTATACCAATTTCCCCACCACTTTAAAAATAAACCCCAAAATATAAGACCCGTAAAATTAATCACATATTAACATTCCACAGTAGCCTTTTGTGCTAAAGAATCGTCAGTCCCATCGGCAGCACCAACGCGAACCACATCGCCTCCGGTAACCGCACTCTCCGGCAGTTTCCTCTTGGGCTTGGCTTCTTGCAGCATCAGCACAACGTCCCTCATCGACGGCCGCTCCGTCGGGTTCTGGCTGGTGCAGAGCAACGCAATTCTTAGCGTTTGCATCATTTCTTCCCTCACCGACGCGCATAATGCCCCCGCGTTTTTATCCAAGATGTCGTTGACTCCATTTTTGCTCTTTATTTTTGACCGCACCCAATCCACGATGCTGTTCCCATCGCCAAATTCCGAATCCACCGATCTCTTTCCGCTTAAGATTTCCATTAACACCACCCCAAAGCTATAGATATCGCTCTTTTCATCTACCTGGAGAGTATAAGCATATTCTGCCAAAAAAAATATACTTGGTTAATGATTTTCTCGCGAAACAAACAGTATGTTCTGTCGTACGACAAACTTAATATACAATTAAAAAAAGACTCTATCGAAAATGTTATTAATTTTTTAATATTTTCGATAAAAAAAATTACCTAAAACATTATTTTTTATCTAAAATATTAATATTTTTTAACATTTTCGGTAAAGTGTCCAATATTAACATTTTCGATAGAAAAATAATGTTTTAGATAGCACTTTATCGAATATGTTAATAAATTCGGTAAAACGTTAAATAATAACAAAACCAATAGAAATAATAATATTTTAGATAATTTTTTATCAAAAATATTAAAAAAATAATAATATTTTCAATATCATTTTTTCTTAATAGTATATTAAGCTACCAACTTCCCCGAAACATGGACATAAAAATCCAAAACAAGGCTTAAAGTCAAATAAGTAATGCTAAGAAAATCAAATGAATCAAAGGCTTCGACAAAAGCAAATCATGAGAAGATACAGTGAATATCTCAGAAAAAGAAAAGTGAGATTCATGCTTCACTTTTGGACCGAAAAAAAAATAAGTATAATAAGTGACTAATCCATGTGTCAATGTGAAGCTCCATTCTAATAACATAAGTAATGGCGTCACAACCAACATAATTGTCAAATCGTTACGAGGTCAATGATAAATTTTTGTTTTTTATGCACATTTTGGATCCAAATATTTAAATAGCTATTGAATTTTGTTTTTATTTATTGATTAATTATTAGTTAAAATATAAAGTTGACCACTTAATATGATCAAATCCATTTTTAATTGAAATCATTGAATAATTTTAATAATTTAAAAAACATTATTTTTTTTTTAAATTTTAAGGTCAATCAATTATATTTACAAATACTATATTTTAAGCGCCCCCAGCTATTCTAAAAACCTTTACTAATTAACGACAATAAATAATTACGCGCATGATAGCAAGAATCCATAGTCTTGGACTGAAATGAGCCGAATTAAAGAACGCACCTGGAGCAATGTAGCCATAGGAGCCAGCAATGACGGACATGGACTCGTCGCTCTGGATCAACTTGGCAACCCCGAAATCCGCCACTCTGGCCTCCATCTCACCGTCCAATAAAATATTACTGGGCTTGAGATCACGGTGGGCAATCACCGGATCACAGTCATGGTGAAGATAACAAATGCCTTGAGCCACTCCGAGAGCTATTTTGTAGCGGGTCACCCAATCGGCCACCAAGTTCTCCCCTTTATTCTTGCCGTGCAACAAGTCGTCCAAGTTCCCGTTGGGCATGTACTCATAAAGCAGCATCGTGCACTCCCTGTTGCTGCAGCACCCTAACAATCTGACTATGTTACGGTGCCTGACGTTCCCCAGCACGTCGACCTCCGCCAACACACCTTTTCTCCGTCTGATGTTCTCTTTGTACTTACCCCATAACTTCTTCACCGCTATGATCTCGCCACCTGGCATCTCCGCTTTGTATACTGTTCCCGTGGACCCCATCCCTATGATCTTGTCCGTCATCGATAGGCACTCCAGCACATCATCGGCGGTGAAGTTCAACCGCTGGAAGGCCGTCAATTTCCATGGTCCGATCTCACGGTCGTCGCTGAACCTACGGCTGTAATTCGCGTGAAAACATCGGGTCCCAGCTACGAGAACAAACAAGCCGATCCCAAAAGCGGCTGCCATAATCCAAACGATAGCTCCAGCCGTTTTCTTTGGCTGCTGCTGCTTGTTACGCACTTCCGTGTCACCTGTAGCCATCGCCTCTGCCGGGCACGGTTTCGCTAAAATGCTGCCGCAAAGGCCGTCGTTGCCGGAAAACGAGGAAGGGTGTAAGTTGGTAAATATTGGACCGGACGATGGGATCGACCCGCTTAGCAAATTATAGGATACGTTGAAATTTTCCAAAGTGCTACAGTTTTCGAAGTTTGATGGGATAGTTCCAGTAAGCAGATTATGCGAAAGATCAACGGCAGTTATTGAAGGAAGCGTCGATACTTCCCATGGAATTATCCCAGTAAACAAATTCCGGCTTAAATTCAAAGACAAGAGCTTCTCACAATGATCAATGTCCCAGGGGATGTTTCCGTTTAGAGAATTGCCTTGGAGCTCGATTTTGTACACGTTTTTACAGCCGATGAAATCTGGGATGTTGCCTGTTAGCTTGGCTGAACTGGCTGAAAATATTTGCAAGCTCGGTGCACCCCAAATGTTGTTTGGCAATGCGGCGTCGAAAGAGTTCTCGGAGATGTTAAGGAATTGTAAAGTTGGTGCATAGCCAAGATCCTTAGGAATCTCTCCGGTGAAGTTGTTCTTACTCACGTCCACGAACGTAAGGTTTTTCAAGACCCCAAAACCGTGAGGGATGGTACCGTTGAGAAGATTGTTTTGGATTCGGAATCTTGAAAGTGAAGTGCAGTTTACAAGGCTCCCGGGTAGCTCATGCATGAACATATTGTTAAAAAGGATGAGTTTGAAAAGCTTGTTTCCATAGCAAAGTTTTGGAGGAATTGGACCAGTGAGAGAATTCGATGAAACATCAAGAGATAGCAAGTTCCCATTTGATCCCAGTTTCTGTGGGAGAATGCCGCTAAAGTTGTTGTTCCAGAGAAATAAAGTGCTAAGATGTGGTATCTCACCGATGCCTTCTGGGATTGCACCAGAAAAATTGTTGTCGATCAAGCTCAACCATGCTAGCTCCGTTAAAGAAGATATCCCTTCTGGAATTCGGCCGGTAAGTTGGTTGCCGGATAAATCAAGAACCTTGAGAGATTTCAAGTTCGTATAACTGACCGGGATTTCACCTGTGAAGCTGTTCTTGAAGAAGTACAAAGCTTCAAGCTTGGTTAAGTTGCCAAGTTCTTTCGGGAGTAGACCTGAAAGAGTACAATTTGAGATGTCCAAATACTTGAGATTCGATAACAGTGCAAACTCTACTGGTATGGTGCCTGAGAAAGCGTTGTATCCAATCTCTATCCGTTCAAGCTGAGTCAAGAATCCGAGTTGACGTGGTAAACTGCCTTCCAGTGCATTTCCTGCCAAGTCAAGCAACTTTAACCTGGTAAAGCTTCCATAAACAGCTGGTATTTCACCTTCAAAGTAGCTGCCACCCAGATTCAGCTTCTCCAAGAACCGTAACCGTACAAACTCTTTTGGCAAAGGACCCTTGAAATCGTTGCTATACGCATTGAAGATTCTTAAGAACCTAAGCTTGGAAACCCCGGGAGGGAACGTTGAATTGAAGTAGTTATGGCTGATATCAAGAGTTCTGAGTTGACTGAGTTCAAAAATAGACGGTTGGAGAGGACCATCAAAGTAGTTCCCACTCAAATTCAAGTTAACCAAGCTTGTCAAATATCTAATCTCCGGTGGAATAACACCGGAGAGATTCCGATGGGAGAGATCAAGAGACGTGACTTGTGCTGTCTTGGGATTGCACTCGACTCCCGACCATGAGCACCAAATTGGGTCTTCAAAACGAGGCTTGGAAAACGTAGGAGAAGGGTCCCAATCTCTGAAAGCGAAAACAGGGTCTTTGAGGGACGATTTTAACGAGAGAAGAGAAACCAAAGGGAGAGGTGGTGAAGAAGAAGATAACACCAAAACAGATGATTTCAACATGTACAAGAAAAATGTGAACAAAAACAGCAGAAATGGAGGTTTTTTCATGGTTACGTGAAAAAGAAAAGTGAGGAGAGTTAACTGGTTCAGAGAACTTGATCTTTACAAGAGGTAGATTTAAGGGTTCATGGCATGGGAGGTTTCATCATTATGGTTTTATTATTCCTTTTTTTTTTCTGTTCTTTTCTTCTCCTACTGCCATGTTTCTCTTTATTTGCAGCGATTTCAATTTCTCTCTCTCTACTTTTGTTTTCAATTATCCGTATTTTTGCTTTGTCTCTGCTATGTATGATCCATTTTCATTATAATACTGTGTTTTTCTTTATTATTATTATTGGGATTTCCTTACTTTTCTTTCGCCCCTACTTTTTCATCATTCCCTTGTTTCCTTTATATCTGGTTGTACAAAATTTTATAATTTTATGTTACAGTAAGCGATGTCTCCCACAGGATCCAAGACACTCCTTTCATTTTCCCTCCATAGCCCACTTTATTATTTTGAAGAAAATCCCTATTTTCTTTCCTTATTTATACCTCTGATATTATATTGTATAGTATTAAAATAAGCATAGATAACTCATTCTGCTACTGCAAATGATTGAAAGAAATATTATAACAAAAACACACACTCTCAGTCCCAAAGGTGAAGTGCATATTAATCTTTTCAAAACGAACCACCACTAGATATCATATATATTTGGTGTTTCCGTGTTGCGTTTCACATATACATATATTATTATGTATCAGAAAGTAATTAAATATAAATACAAAATTTATAATGTTATGTTTACAGTACTATTTGTATTTGTTTTTTTTATATATACAATTATTATTTGATATATCACCCTTGTTAGTGAAAAAATCGTCTTTAAGATAATGACGTGTATCCTTTGATATATAAGCTTAATTAACTAATATTCATGGTTTTTTAATTCTTAACTTTTGATGAACGATTAAATCAAACCCCTAAACGATTCTCAACACTTGTATTTTTCATTCGCTCACGCAAACTCTTGTATTATTTAACTCATTGGTTGTACTGCTTTTTATTTTCATGCCAAAGTAATGGTGTAATCATTTATTTTTAAAGCTACGAGGCATAGCTAATTATGTCTCTTCCCTTCCAAGCTATATCAAATGATCATATCCAAGCAATTAATAGTAACAATTATTATTATTAAGTTTGAACAATAATATTCACCATGAATTCCAAAATTTAATTCATAAATGTATTCGTACGAAGAATATTACTGAATACTACTCTATTTTTTTTATTTAAGTGTTTGTGAAAGGAGTTTGACTTTGACAAGGCTTTTCTCCATGACGACGATATTTACTTTGTATCATAATGTTGGTAAAGCATTCATTAAAATTAGAAACACAATCATGATTCACGAATCATCCCCACCTTCCATTTCCTTTTATTATTATTTTCACTTTAATCTGGATTTTTGCAACACTCTCCAATATCCCACATCGTTTTCTTCAATATTTATATATAATCTCCATGCATAATATTTATATATAAATTTTAAAATAATATATATATATAACCCAGGGAAGAAAACCTATATAAAGTAACAATTAATCTTCACAAAAAAATAAATAAATATGATTTTGTAAAAAGTGTAATTTTGTCTGTTCCATGAAACTCATTAATTTAACTGAAAATCGTTTTCTTCAATATTTATATATAATCTCCATGCATAATATTTATATATAAATTTTAAAATAATATATATATATAACCCAGGGAAGAAAACCTATATAAAGTAACAATTAATCTTCACAAAAAAATAAATAAATATGAATTTTGTAAAAAGTGTAATTTTGTCTGTTCCATGAAAACTCATTAATTTAACTGAAACAGAATGTGTTGAATTTTATGTGGCGAAACTGGAGATATTTGAAGAAAATAATTTAATAGGGAAGCAAGTAAAAACAAAACCCAAATGAAAAAGGAAAGATTATATCATTAGATTTAGCAACAAACACAGAGGAGAAACGAGAACGACAGTTTCCAGAACTACAAGGCAAGCAGAGCTTTCGTCATCCCACCTTGTTTCCCAAACACAATGTTGAGTGTAAAATATAATCCATTTTTTTTAGATTATATATACTAAAATAAAAATAAATAAATATGAATGTGTACGTAGGAGAAGTCGCCTTCTAGATCATATTTTCTTCTTTGAACAGCGCACGCCTTCCTCCACCCAGTTGCTTTGTCTTTTATTGCTCCACGCCTTCCATCACTTTTTTTTTTATTATTTTATAAATAAAAATCAAATTTATCTCCGTTTCCTTGAGTTTTTCATTTATTTTATTTTATTTTCGTTATTCTTATTTTAATTGTGTAATGTGGAAAGATAGGTATATTTTGGTATTTTATGCAACTGATAAAACATTTAACTGCTACATTAAAAAATTTATTAGTTTTTATCTCAAAACGTGGTGTCGTAAGGACAAATTAAAGATATTTGTTTTGCTTTAGATTTGGTAGCAATAATATATGAAGGAGATTGCATTTCGTGATACTAAATGATCGGTTTAGCTTTCATATTTGCCAAGGAGGAGAAATAGTCAAATGTAGAAAAAATACCAATTAGAAGACTGTGCTATAATACAACACAATAGAAAAGTACAAAAATATTTGAACATTTGAAAAAAAGAAAGAAAGAAGAGAGGGAAGGGGTGTACATTAGGGTGATGATTGCCGAAGGGCACAACACAGCCCTAAAAGGGGTCCCAATCTCTCAAAAATGGCATAGCAGCAGCAATATTTGCGATGGGCACGCCAGGGAATGGTGGGGTGGGGGGTCCAAATCTCTTTTTCCACTTTGTCCCCTTCATACCCATTCATTCCTAAAATGCCATTGGGGTCACGTGTTTCTCATGCGCAGAGGGGGAAAGCTGGTGTTTGGCGTGAAGGCCATGATCCCGCCTGCAAGGCACTGCCATGATGGAGAGGACTTAACTTTGCATCTCAATCTCCATGCCTTTGCTTTTTTTGCCTGCCAATGCGCCACATTTTTCGTCCCAATTAGGGTTCGTGTAATTCTTTAGGCATTCATTACCCAAAATTATAACACTTCTATTAATCAAACATTCTATCCAAAATAAATATACGGATATGTGGAAAATGAAGCCAACATTGGTTTTAAATTTAATTTATGGTTGGAGCAAGAGGTGGTCGTGCCGTGGTGCTCCCCAATCCTGTACATGATATTTCACCAATTTACTTTCCTCATTCCACCTATGCCTGCAGCTTGAAGAGCACAAGTTCCAAGGGCTTTTCTTCAAGGCATTTGGTATTAGCATATTCAAAATAATAAGACTTAATAATCGTAGAGCTGGGTACGAATGGGAACGACAGGTAGTCAGATAGTCACCTTGCTCGTTTAGAACATTCCATCGAAATTTTACTGGAGTGGTTTGAGGAATTGAGGCAGCTATTTAGAAGATATGGAGAAGTAGTTGATTCGTATATAGCAAGAAAAAAGGATAAGAATGAGAAACGTTTTGATTTTGTAAGATTCTCTAACAAAATGGATGCTAATAAGGATAAATGGTTTTAACTTTTATGAATTTCGATTAGTAGTGAAAGAAGTAAAGTATAGAGAAAGGTTTTAGTTGTGGAGAAATTTTAACTACGCCTCAAATTAGTTATCCGATTGGTCAAAATGACAGAAGAATAAACAAGATATAAAGTACAAGGATGTTATTTTTTTAACAAAAGTACAAGGATGTCAGGCGAAATGATAGGAGGTGTTGCAGAAAATAACAATAAAATGGTAGAGAGTAGTGAAGATTCAGATAAGCAAACAAGGAAGAGACATGTAAATGTTCGGGATCATGTAAAGAAGGATACACTCCAGAAACTTAGAAGGTGTCCAGTTGGTACGATAGCAAAGGTGTGCAAAACAAATCAAGTAGAAGAAAGGCTACGGGCATGGAGTTTGAGAGATACTAGAGTTAAATCAATAGGAGGCTGTAGTTTCTTGATAGAAATTGAAGATCAAGAGCTTTATTGTTTAATGGAGGATCTCAATTGGTTATATCTAAAGAAGATTTTCACAGAAGTTCAACCTTAGACGAAAGCATATCATCAATCAAAGAGAATCACCTGGATTCAATTGGTAGGTATTGGAGTTATAAATGTTGTAACCAATTGTTACATGTGGAGTATTGCGTATTGAAGACGTTTGGTTGTTAGCAGGTTGTTAGCTAGTTGTTACATAGCTGTTGATAAGTTGTATAGCAGCTACAGTTAACTGCTTGCATGCAGGCTGTATAAAACAATATACTCACATTATATTTGATGAGCTGAATAATTGAGCAATGATATTCTATCTCTTTCAGTATTCCAATATGGTATCTATTGCTGGTGGTCTTGGGGTCTCTTGTTAGGCTTCCATTGCTTCAAGCTCTTCTTTTATGAGTTCGTAGCCTTTTATGGAGCTTCATGCTAATAATGCCAAAACTTTCTCTCATATGAAAATCAATGTTATGCTTGATGAGATGAACTTCCTTCTTTGGAAGCAACATGTTTTGCTTACTATCCGCAATCATCGGTTAGAACTCCTTCTCATCGATGCGGTTGCGCCGCCGCCTGAAACTGTTGTCAATGATGATGGTATTGTTCGGATTAATGAAGCCTATGAGGAGTTTGTTGCATAAGATAGTGCGCTTGTTTCTTGGCTTCTTTCAACGATTAGTGCTCATCTTCTTCCTCAGTTCGTCGGTGTTGAGACTGCGTCTGCCGGATGGAGTACTGTCTTGCAATTCTTTTCTACTCGTTCCATGACTGCTTTGATGAGCCTTCACTACAAATTACAATCGTTGAAGAAAGGTGGTGGCAACATGAGGGTTTACCTCACTCGTGTTAAAGAAGTGTGCGATGCTTTAGCATGGTGTGACAGTCATTTCCTCATGTTGAGCGTATTGCCAATATTTTAAAAGGTATTCCTCGTGAATATCAGCCGTTCATTTGTTGTTATAACTATCATGAAGGATATTATGTTGCTTGATGACATTTATACAATGCTGCTTGATGTTGAGACTCAGCTTGCTGGTTTTGATGAGCAAAGTGAGGTGTTTCCCATGAGTGCTCATATTGTTCAGGGTGAGGTTCATGGTACCTCCTCTTCTAACAATCGCT